CAGTGCACACTAGTCCGGTTCACAAAGCCCCTACTGTGTGCCTGGACTTGGGCACGTGGTTCCTTCCCTTCCACGACCAGCGTGGACAGTGCATCCAGAACTTTTTCCGTTTAGAATGTTTATTAATTTGCAAAAATATGTCTGGGCTGCCAGGTTCTCCCGGTGGCCACGGGAAGTGGGTTCCCGCAGCCTGGGTGGTGAGGCGGCCCTGCTCCGTGTCACCGCCTGGGCCCGGGGCCTCAGAGGCAGCTGGGTAAGTCCGGGATCATGGGGCCTGGAAGGAGCCACTGCCTGGCTTCCGGAGGGGGACAGTGGCGCGCCGGGAGGGGTGGGGAGGCAGGCAGCTGCCGCTCCTCTCCGCAGGAAATCCTGCTCCACGGGGGTGGGGGGAGCGCAGCTGGCGCAGGTATGGAGAGCTGGGAGGAGGCCCAGGCAGGGGGAGGCCACAGCCGGGGAAAGTGGACCCCAGAGGCCCAGAGCTGAGAGCCAGCTGCAGAGGGGGTGTCAGTCACGGGTCCTGGGTGGGTCCTTGTCATGCGCCCTGCCCCCATGCAGGACGAGGCCCCGCGGGCAGGATGCGGCAGGAGGAGGCCTCTGGATGGAACGGGCCGACCCGCCCGCTCCCCCCCCCTGGCTGGATGGCCCCGTCCACCCCGCCCACCATTTCTTCCTTTGTCTCTGCCTCAGCTGTGAGTCTGGGACTGGTTGGGGTAAAGAAAGGAAAGAAAGCCGCTGCTTACCTGGCTAGCCTCTCTGTGGAGATGCCCTGATAGGCCTCCGCGGCCCGATGCTGTGGCCAGCGCTGGCGCTGGGTCCCTGGCCGGCTCACCTCCCAAGGCCCGGAGGTGAGCCACACTGCCTTCTCATTTGATCATTCAACGACTGTTTGTCGAGTGCCCACTGCGTGCTAGATCCTGTGCAGAGTAAGTTCTGCTGACATTGAATTGTTACATATTATTTAAAGTTTTTTTTCAAAATTTAGCAAGTTAAAAAAAATCGTTTTCCACTGTTTTTGGTAGGATGTACTTAGGACACCTCTCTTGGGTGGATGGTATTTTGCTGAGTTGGGCAGGGACAGGTGAGACACATCCCATCACTTTTATTCCAAGGGCAGATAACAACTCCCTCATCTTTCTTCTTTCTCTTTAAATTGGAGAAACTGTATGTTCCTAGAATCAAGGAAAATTTCAGATAGTGCAAAAGCACTTGGCCCAGCCAGAGGTGACCCGGTATTATATGGGCTCCTCCATTCCCCCTGGGGTCTGGTGAGGGCCAGAGACTAGCCCCAGACCACAGGCAATTAGGATCCTGTGACCCTTCTTTCTCTCTTTGTCTCCTCAGCCACTGGGGCCTGGCTTCCACAAGGTGAAGGACAGCTGCTCGACCTGTGGCTGATTTTGTGAGTGGGAAATGGCTCTTCCTGGTTCCCACTGGGATGCAAGGGCTTGTTTGTTTCTGCAGCACAACCAGCCTAACCTGACTGATACAAGGATGTCCAGAGGATAGTCTGTCTCCCTGAGCCTTCYGGTCCCTCCCAGTGGAAGCTCCATTGACAGATCCTTAGGCCACTTTCCTAAAATCTCCTCTGCTTTTATGTCAGCATGGACACCCTGAGACAGCCCAGATGAGGCATTCTGGTGGAAGTTGCTGGTTTTCCCCCTTCGGCTTTTGGAACCAGGGCTCTATCCCTGTGGATTYGGCAGAGGGGAAAACAGACCCTGAGGAGCCGGAGGCTGGGGTCACAAAGGCTGGCCAAACCTCAGGTCTTGTCCCCCATGGACGGCCAGGCCTATGCCATCCCTGCTGCCTGGGGGTGGGCAGGACCCTCCTGCAGCCAGGCAGGTGCTTATGCTCACTGGCCACAGCCACAGACCCCCAAGCCCCATTCCCGGCCTCCTGCTCTGTGGCTGCCAGAGGCTCCCCAGTGGGCTGTAGAAAGTGGCACTTCTGGGTCCCTCCTTTAGGGAAGGAGCAGGGAGGAAGTTCAGCCAGAAAGCTCAAGCATGTCTTCTCCCTTGAATTCCCTTCCCACCGCCCCATGGGTCAAACCTGGTCCCCCAAATGGCCTCTTTCCCAGCTGTGTTGTCCTTGTCTATAGTGAACATAGGAGATGTATGGCCCTAAGGTGAACTGTCATCTGACGACTTCCTTTTAAGAATTTAAACAGGCCTGGCGCACCCCTGTCATCCCAGTGGCTTGGGAGACTGAGGCAGGAGGATCATGAGTTCCAACTAGCCTCAGAAACGTACCCAGGCCCTAAGCAACTCGGTGAAACCCTGTCTCTAAATAAAACATAAAAAGGGCTGAGGACAGGGCTCAGTGGTYMAGTGCCCCTGAGTTCAATCCCCCCTACCAAAAGAAGAGAGAKAATTTAAAGTGGCTTCCCCCTTGAAGAAAGGTCTGCGTGCTTCATGCAAAAGTAACAGACAAATAAAGAGCAGGGGCAGAAACAGGTAAGGGGAAAACAGACCCCTGCCCAGGCCACCTCCCACACAGGCTGCTGTGGCTCGGGACCCCTCCTTGAAGGTTGCTTCTCTACGTCTGTGAGCACCTGTGGGCGTGCCCCAGGTCCCTCTGGAAGCAGATCACGAGTGGATGAGTGGATGCATTTAGTTCAGCGCTTGCTCCTCCGCCCCCCTCCAGGGCGCTGCTGCTGCTGCTGCTGCTGCTGCTGCAGTCCCGCCTCTGGGTCAGCTGACTCAGTCTTGCAAGCCTCTGCTGTTTTGCTCCAGAGCTCAGCTTCTAACAAGTCAGTACCTGTTCCCGGACCCTTTTCAAGATTGAACTTTGGATGGATTTGGTTTTTCACTTCAGGTATGTTGACCTGGTTTGTCTCTTGAATTTTTTCCCTTTAAAAAAAAATGTGTTTTATCTTAGTGGGGTGGGTTTCTGGGAATCCATTACGCCATCCCCTTTATACCTTTGGTTAAAAAACTAAATATTTTATGATGGTATTCCTTTTCTGCGGTGCCGGGGATTGAACCCAGCACCTCGTGCATACCAGGCAAAATGCTCTGCCACTGAGCCACAGCCCAGCCTGCTGCCAGGCAGACACAGAATCAGTGCAACTTCCAGGGAAATGAAAACCAGCCTAGAAAAGTCCACGCTCTCAGAAGCTCTTCAGAGTTTTCACTGCACCAATACTAGATCATTGATACCACAAATCTATCACATTCTCAGGTGAAAATCCAGCTTGTAAGATACACACAGGCAAACATCGCGTGTGTTTTCTCAAAAACTGTCAAAGCCAGGGAGGTGTTCTGATTTTTCCTGCCTACTTTCAATGTGATCAGTTGCTAAACAAACATCAAATTTGGAATCATTTAAGACTTCTGAAACCAATACTATTGGCACTTTGAGTCTTTTTCCAACGTCAGGGCCATTTTTAAGGTGTGGTTCTTATTTGAAAGCAAAGCAGTTTTTAAACCTAACAGTGAAATGCCCAAGATAACACCATCAGGCTGGGCACAGTGGCACACGCTGATGTGAAGGCAGTCTGGGTTTGAGCTTGCGATCCTCCTGCCTCAGCCTCCCAAGCCACTTGGGATGACAGGTGTGGGATGACAAGTGTGGGCCACAGGCTAATAAAGTTCATGCTAAAAAAAATGTATTTTAAATATGCAGTAATAACAGAACAGTCCCCTCCCTGGGGCATTGTTTGAAATATCACGTCAGTGGGCAGGGGAGGGCACAAAGATGTACACGTATTAAGATTCGGGGAAGGGTCAAGAGTAAAGATGTGACACCAATCAGCCGGTGGTCAGAGTGGCTGGGTGGAGGGTGGATTTCCTAGCTTGCTCCCCCCTTGGATTACCAGTGAGGCCTGCTGCTCCATTTTGGCTCCCTGTGGCTCCTCCCTGTGAAATGTGAGTACACTGGTCCCTTCTGTTAGGATGTGACGTCCTCTCTCCTGTTAGAGAGCAGGGGTGTCTTCCCCACGTCAGTCAGCTCTTTATAAGCCAGAATTACTGCTCCTTTGTGACACAGCTTTTGTTTCCTTCGGCTTTCCCAGGGCCAAGTTCCTATGTGGACGAGGCCCCTTTTCCTGCTATGACGCTTAGGACCTGAAGGTGCATCTCCCATTCACCTGTGCCCCCTGGGTTTCCTAGTGTTTCTTTCTCTTGCAGCTGGACTCTAATTCATCTGGAATGACTTTGAGGAATGGTATCAGAGGTGAGTGGAACTTGACTTTTCCCATGTGGCCGATATTATTTCCATTATCGTTATGGATTGGAATTCCCTCCCCAATCGATTCGGGACGCTCTTTTTTACACCTGAGAAGGTTTCACATCTCCATGTTTTCGCTCTCTGGGCCATTCTGGGGGGAATTCCTTCGATTGTCTCTTCTTGAACCAACGTACTGAGACTTTAGCTCTTCATGTCTGATACAGCAAGTTCTGTTATCACCCCCCCCCCCGCCGCCCCCGCTTTCTTAAGCCTCAGTTATTGTGAACAGTTTATTCAGGCAGACAAAATTCAGAATCCGGACACA